CCATGGACACAGATAATAGTATGGTGAAAGCCTGGGGAAGGTGTGGGAGGAGAGAGAAGAGTGGACGGGGTCAGTGGGGGGGGGGAGGGAACATCTGTAAAACTTTCAACAATAAAGATAAATTTTTAAAAAGATTTTAGTACGGGCTTTTTTAGTAAATATAGAATGCATCGTATTAATGGGTACATGGTAGTTCACTTTTATGGAAGTACAATAATTTAATCAGTTTCTTATCAATGAGTACTTAGTTTACTTCCATTTGTTATAAACATTGCATACATATTTTAGAAGTTATAGGAAACTTAAAGTATGTAATTCTGATTTCTTAGGTAGTTTTCTTTAAATATTTGCTTCTATAAACTGGCATTAAGACAAAAACAGTTTTTGGAATGCTGTTTCAAAATGCTTTGATCACAAATGTAGGCAATCCTCAATAAATATCTAAAATGTCTTAAACATTTCTAACCTGAATAAATGACCTTCCAACCTGGCTACAATCTGTGATTTCAGTTTTAACTCCCTGATTTGTCCACAAAGTCTCCATGCTGATCAAACGGATTTATTCATCTCATGATACAAAGGAGCCTTGTATTTCGCTATCTTTCTGCCAGAGCACTTTTGTGCTCTGGCGGAGCTAAAGGCTTCTCAGGCTGGAAAGGTTGGAAATCACTTTCTCTTTTTCTCCACAGATCAAGTCTAATCCAGAGTTACAGGTCTAGCTCAAATCCCACTTGGTCATAAACTCTTCCTGACCTCCTAGCAGGAAGGAATTGTCTTCCATTAAAGTCCCTTGGCACATGATATTTGCACCAGTTTTTGGCAATTAAATATATACTGTCTTGTAACAGTTCCTTCTCTTGTGTTTTCAAATGTTATTTAAATCTTGCTTACTACCTTCTCATTAGCATATTTGTATCATCTTGTTACAACTGTACCATAAGACTACTGAAGGAAGAGATCTGTCTTGCCATTTGCTCAGCACTATACTTTGCACATAGAAGGAGCTTGGTAAGTATTTATTTATTTAAATATGTTTTTATTGATTTTATTTTTTGAGACAGAGAGGAAGGGAGAGGGAGACACAGAGAAGGAAACATCAATGTGAGAGTAACATCAATCGTTTGCTTCCCACATGTGCCTCAACCAGGGATAATACCTGAATCCTGGGCATGTGCCCTGACTGGGAATTGAAACCGCGACCTTTCAGTGCATGGGATGATGCTCGGCCAACGGAGCCACACCGGCCAGGAAAATATTTATTTAGTATGATTACTATAAATGACAGACCTATGCTATAAAAATTCTCATTCAGTTTAATTTCTATGCACAGATAAAAGCATACAAAAAAGCAATTTCTTAAAGCTCTTTCATCAAGATAACAACAAAAGTCTTTGTTACTGCCATGTTGGTAACTGAACTATGTAATCTTTAAATCAAAATAGTGTCTCAAGATTTTTATAGTATTTAAAATATTCTCTTAAAATAGTTAGCATAAATATCGAATTACTTACCNTGTGTGTGTGTGTGTGTGTGTGTGTGCATATACACAGATACATATATATTTGTGTGTATATATTTTTTATTTAACAAAAATAAGATTTTAGTAAGAGGCAGAGAAAAACAAATATCACATGATCTCACCTTTATGTGGAATCTAATGAACAAATAAACTGATGAACAAAACAGACCCAGAGACATTGAAGCATGCAACAGACTGACACATTTCAGAGGGGGGTGGGGGGCAGGAAGAGATTAACTAAAGAACTTCTATGCTTATATGCATGGCCCATGGACAGACAATAGTGTGGTGAAAGCCTACTTTTGAGGAGGTGGGAGGAGGG